TTTTTTTAATGGCAGAGCTAGCATCTGCCAGATGGGAGTTGAAAGTGACATAAGTGGGCTAGGAAATCAGCAATCATTGACATGTGTAGTAACTGCTGAGGAACAGATATGCAGTTGTGGCCATCCAGAGGCATCAGTGTCATTTTGGCACCTGACACACAAATTTCTAGAAAGATTGGGTTACTTGAATACTCGTTCCTCAGCATTCAACCATGAGCGAGCATCCAAGACGGGCCAGAAGGAAGAGGACAGGCTGTCTGCAGAGCAGAAGGGAGGAAAGGGAGAGCAGCAGCTGCACGCTCGTTTGTCTCCTGGTACATGCAGAGCCCTGCTGCTGTCCCTGCAGTGTCCCAAGCCCTGCTTGGGGACAATTATAATTTATAATGTCCCCAGCCACCCTGGGCCAGGAGACGAGCCAGCAGGCAGTGGCTGGGGCAGTGTGGTCCCGTGGAGAATCTCGGATGTTAGGGCTGCCAGGGCCCGCAGGGCACCGAGCACAGGCGGAGCTTACTGAACAGCTTCTGGCAATTCCGAGAAGCAGGCAGCTTCAATTCCAGTTTGATCTGTTGTGTGTTCATGAAGATTAATCAGCTTTAAACCTATGCTCATAAGCCAAATGCACCATGCACCAACACTGTTGTATTTATGTTTCATTTACGTCAACAGGATATTCCTTTTTTTCTCTAGTCAAAAGTCAGCAAGGAAACACTTGACTCCCACTGGCATCTTTCATATTAAAAAGGATTTATCTGTGTAATACCTGGGTCTTGCAGAGGATAGCTTAAGGGCATGCTTCACATAAAGTGCTTGACGATTCTGAAGTCAACAAGACAGATGTTTTTTTTTTTTTAAGTCCACCGTTTATGATGGAAAAGATGATGAAACCTCCATGCCCCGAGGGACGCGTTGACCCTAGGGTTGTCCTGCGGTCACTGTGGGAGGCCGAGGCAGCTACATGCCGCTCCCTCCAGAGAAAGAGGGAGGTGGTGACGGGGTAAGCGGATCCCGATTGCGGCACCGGAACCCGATGCGGCAGCAGCTCCCGGCCCATTGGCGTCCGGCGTCCCCAGAGCAGGGCAGGGCTGGGCCGGGCCGGGCGGGGCAGGGCCGGGCCGGGCCGGGCTGGGCTGGGCTGAGCTGGGCTGGGCCAGGCCCGGCCCCTAGAAGAGCTGCGCCCTCACTCAAGATGGCGCCTTCAGCATCACCGAGGAGCTCTGACGTAGTGGCTGTCGCTGCCCAATGAGCTGCGCCGGCAGCGGCATCCGTTTGCCCTCAGTGAAGATGGCGGAGCGCGGCGTGGAGTGCCGGCGGCTGCGGTGAGGGTCAGTGTGCGGGGCCGGGCGAGGGGAGAAGGAAGCAAGCAGCGCGGAAAGGCGAGCGTCTGCGGCCGGGCGGGGGAGAAGGAAGGCTCCCCGCAGCGCGGCCGCTTCTGGGGAGCCGGGCACGTGCGCGGCCGTGAAATGGCGGCGGGGCCTGGCGCCGGCTGCGGGGCTGGGGGTGCCCCGCTTGCCCACCGCAGGCGGCGGGACCCCGGCCGGCTGGGTCCCAGCGCCCTGGCTTCTCTGAGAGCCGCGTGTCTCCGCAAGGAAGTGCCCGTGTGTTCATACAGTTTGCAGCGAGGCAAATGAATTAGCTGTGAAACGCTTCTCGGAAGTTTTCGTCATACAAAAATATTAAATAACCCGAAAATTTCTGCTTCGCACTGCATCAGCACTTTCTAATTCTTTATTCAAAACATAAAGTACTGTTTCTCCTTTATAAGATCGTTAAATATTTGGCATAATCAGAAAACTGTAAATCAACGGTGAAGGTACTTCCCAGTTATTGACTCTGCAAGTGTTAACCTGCGTGTAGTAAATTTTGTACACAATATGTAAAGTTGTGTGTATACATACAACTCGTTTTAGGGCACCACATGGAGGCTGTATGGGACTATTTGTCAGCTGCTGTTGGAAGCAAGTCATAAAGTTGTTTCTGCCAGCTGCCCTTGTACTAGCAGTATTCATAAATGCTGCGTTGGCGTCTGTATGTGTGTGTCAGTGCCATAAGATGGGAAGGAGCTATCATAAATTGCCCTAATATATCTCAGAACTTAATTTACAAACAATGATCTGATTGCCTTTTCTTGACAGATGCACCCCAGTGGCACACAGCACCGAGTTCCCATGTACAGCTTGAATAATCAGCTCCATACCTGGCTTCTCTTCAGAATTCAGTTTTTTGCCAATACTTCTAATCTGACATTCACCAGAGGCACTTCTGAGAGTTTCTCCCTTTTTTTACCATATAAACAGGAGTCATAGGGCACTGCTGTTATGTCCTGGGTACAAGTGGCAGTCAGGCAGTCCAATGAGGATATATTTGATGAAGATGCAGATGAAATGTGTCTACTACAGAAGGAATGGAACAGCACTATGAAAAAGAGGTTGAAGGTATTTCTATAAAAATTATTTAATATACTTTTTAGTAATTTTAGATTTAGTGACATTTAACTTGGTATACATTTGAATGATTCAAAGGGAAAAGTAAAAGCAGCTGCTTAAAAGTTATTGTGGCATACTTTCTTCTGAATATCAGGAAAATATGGCAGAAATTTACATAAACAGTTTATGTAAAACTAAGAGCAAAGTACTGTTTTACCAAAAGACACTGACTCCTTCTGCACAACCATGTGTGTTTATAAAAGGCAGTGCTAAATTGTGATGCAAGCTACTTGCTTTGTACTTGTAGTTATACCCCTAGTAAATGAAAGGCAACAGAGCTGAACAGTGTGAATAAAGAAATGTGAGATGTTTGGGGTTTTGAGTATAGTTACTCATCAGCAGAATGCAAGATGTGTGACTCCATGTGTAACCACAACTGGACGTTGTGGTCTGTGTAGGTCTTTGGTTGATTTATTCTCCAAGTGAAATATATATTTTATGAAAGCTGCTTTCCACAGCCCTTGCCTCTGCAGTTTTGTAGGGAACAAAAAAAGTTCATAAATAGATTAATTCAATAGATACCGTGTCATTCAGAGTGGGGTCAGTAGGGCTCCTCTGCTCACAGTTGAGCAGCGTTTGGCTGAAGAACATGGATGGAAACCATAGGCAGTCGATGACGAGGAATGGTATTACAGCAGACTTGGTGTAGTTTCCTTCATCCGAGTTCCATGAAAAGATTGGTTTTCTTAAGGAACTGTTTAGTGTTCTTACAGAAATCCCACCGATATTTTTGAGTAGATGCTGCAAAATCATGAAGGGTTGTTGAAGTTAGAGTTGTATATTGGGGAGAATAAATTTTTGTGCTCCAGACTACTTTTCTAGCAAGGCCACAATGAACAAATAAAACTTTTTGCTTTTGTAGCCTGCAATTTTGGTGTGAAAAAATGTTAAGAATTATTCTATATAACCTTGTATTGTGGTTATAATATAAAGAAAGTAATTTGCATTTCAATCATTAGCTGTTTATTTAAAGAAAGCAGTCCCAGTGTTATGTGTATTTATATGTGACTCACTCAATCACGGTCTCTTTTTCTGCTATAACTCTTGAATGGAGTGAGGTCCAGCAAATAAAGGAGCAATGCTCGGCAGTTAATTTTGTGAAAATAAATGGATTCCGTGTAGATGGATTACAGATAGAAGAATACCTCTACTAAAGGGGAAGCTTGGCATATCTTTTTAAACAGAAAAAAAGGAAGTCTATGTGGTACTTCTAAATCCATTTCTCACAAAGGAGTTGGTAATCATTAAAAGCAAACATGCTTCTTTTTTGATCTTTCTAAAAGAAGTTTCCCTCTTCTCTCACTTTCTGGGGAAAGTAAAAAACTGCATCTTACAGGTCAGTAAATCATAATATACTGCAACAAGCATGTTTTGGTTTGCCAGTGGGGGATGTTCAGATATAGAAGCTGTATCTTAAGAGATTGAATATTTGTGATACTTGTTTAAACTTCTTTATTATTGTTGTTATGTATTTGTCGGAGGTCAACTTTGTCATGTTGTGAGCAACCTGTTTCACTGCTTTTGTTACAGGAAGGCTATAGGGATGGAATTGAGGCCGGGAAAGAACTTGCACTCCAGACAGGCTTTAATCAAGGTTACAGACACGGTGCCAAGCTGATGATTACATGCGGCCAGTTCAAAGGAATCCTGAAGTAGGTTACAAACTCCTTAGGGTCAAGTATAGGTGGAAGATGTGTAACAGGGGAACACACATGCAGGTTTTTGTTTGTTTTATTCAAAAAACCAAACCAACCAACCAAAAAAAAAACCAAACAAAAAGAACCAACATATTTTGAAACTGTCTGAAGTGAGCAACCTGAGAATTCCCGCATCTTGAGAACAGGGAATGCCTACCTGGGTGTAGAAATACTAATTTTTTAAAAGTCTCTTTCAGTTGCTCTTACAAAATTGTCTGAATCTACATATTTAACATTTAGTTCTACTGCCTGAATTTTCATAAATCGTGAATTATACCTAAATATATTTATGATACATAGATACCTTGTCACATTGCTGTCTACCTCCACCAAATGGAGATCTGCTTAGATGAATCTAATAATTTTTGTTGTTGTTCACTTTGCAGTGCTCTCTTATCCTGGTGTCATTTAAATGGACATGATTCTGCCCTAAGTACCATAAAGAATCTTCTTGATGTGGTTGGAAAGCATGAAGATGATATGCTTAAGTATCTGAACTCTACTGAAGAACAGCCACATCTTGGACACATTTTAGACTCAGTTCAGGACATGGACCTTAATCACACAGCTGGGACAGAGTACAGGGAAGTTAAAGATGGAAAGCATGAGGACTATGGCAGCTCCGGTGAAAACATTTGTAGGAATAATAGTGAGGTTGGTTCCTTGCAGTCTGAGTGCAGCAAGGCAAACCTCTGCACAGATCCTGAAAAGTCAACCCTTGCTTGGGTTAAAAAGCAGACTGTTTGGTTAGTAGAGCAACTGGGCTTATCGCTGGATGTACTCCATCATGTCCAGCAACTGGAACATTAGTTTTTCTGTCTCGTGGTACTTAAAACTATCTCAGCTGGTTTTGATTCTTGGTTTGTGGTCCGTGTACAGGCTGATGCGTCACTTCTGCTTTACAAAAAAATAATTTTGATGCTTTACAGTATAAGTAATTTTTATAAATTCACACCATGATTTTGGCTTTGGGCAAAACCCTTGACTTTCAACCTTAAAGGTCACATTCACAGAAAGGGGCAGTGACTTTAAAACTTTACAGAGAGTTACTAAACATATTTCTGTTTTGTGTCAGGAGGTCCCATTTCACCCTCATTTTTTTCTTGGCAGCAGCTTGGAAATGAAGTGGGTCCATTAAATAGCCCCTCTAAATTGGGCCCCTGCAATATCAAAAGAATAAATACTCAGTGCTATGGAAATGGTCAGTGTTTTTGCAGAATAAGCTGCTGTTGATGATATGCTGTGTGTGAAATAGAACATGATATGCTGCTGATTCCTAGAGTGCTGTGACTAGTCACTTTTTGTCAAATTATGTGTGTTATCTTTTCTACCCATGATGCAATGCACTTTCACAGTTAAAAACTATTTTTCCCTCCTTATAGTTATATTTGTCACTTTTGCTGAAAACAAACATCATTTTCCTCAATACAGAATTGCTGACAATTCCATTGTTTTATTTTTAGACATCTACTCTTACCATGTCAGACCACACTAAACATGCCTCCAGTCTAATGAACATCCATTTGCTGTTTCTTTTATTTATTTTGTCAGTCCATCTAGCCTGCACTCTTTCCCACATTTCAATAATATTTTTCTCAAACTCTTCAAGGAAACCAAACTTATTCAGTACCTCTTAGAAACACATCAGCCACACATGCTTATTTCTGATTATTTCATATTTCTGTAATTATTCTGTATTTGACTTCCTTTTCCATTGCTTCCCTTCACTGTAGCTGTAACTACAGAACCTGCTCTGTTCAGGAACTTTTTTCTTTGTGGACGCCTCTGTTTTACATTAATTAAACTGATTTATATTAAGTTCCCAGCTTACTTGTTGGAAGTTCCTTGTAACTCATTCATATTGGAGACAAAGGAAGTCCAGACATAGGCAAAGTAAGATTTTGAACAGCAAACAATAATTAAAAAAGAAATCACAAAACTTTTATACTTAGAGGCAAGAAAAAATCTAAGGTAAAAATTCCTTGTTTTTCAGAGCCTGAGTTTATACAAAATTCTTACTAAAGACTCTGTTACCCTGTCAGAGTTGACAGACTGTAAGTTTGCTTTCCTTTCAGTATCACTTCTGTTTTAGGGGTAAGCAGAACTGCAATTCATATTCTTGGATTGAATACATTTATGAAATAGTGACAAAGAGAGGTGTCTGCATTAATTGTGTATATACAAAACTCATTCAAGTAACTTTTTCTCAATTTATTTAGCATAATACTGACATGGATAAACATTGCTTTTCTTCAAATGCCTGTCTTGTGTTATAGACTGTATCCTGTATGCTAAACACAGATTTCTTCCATGTTCTGGTAGAATATGGTGCAGACAATGTTGGAATATATATATATAACTTCCCTAACTAATTTTTAAGTAGTTGTTTTAACTAAGCAGTGCTCACTTTTTGCCAACACCAGTTAAGTTTCTTCACAGACTTACTTTGATCATTAAATCACTGAAACCTTAAGTTTTTTAAAACTAAGCCTGACAATCTTCAATTAACAAAGCCAAAGGAATTTGACAATTGGGCATCTGGGATATTAAATTTATGGCCATTCAAGGACATTAGAGTAACCAGAAGATGTAGTGGAGATTAAGGCCTGGAAAGTTGGAGAAAAATATGAAGGAATAAAAGATGTGGACCAGATTAGCATAAAGAGAAAGAAATCAATAACTAATAGAGGGTAGAATACTAATTAATGAAGATAATTATGTAAATTAAACCAATGAACATTATGTAAATTAAACCAATGAACATTAATGTCTTTGTTTGCAAAAAATGCATAAATAAGCGAAAATTTTTGTATAGCAGTCAGCATTGAGGCTGGAACTTTGTCAGCCACAGATATCTCTTGACCAAGAATAAAGTAATGGTTACCTTCTAACAATAAAAAAGACAATGCTAGAGGTAATCTTATTTACCGTGATGATTTTTGAGGTTTTCAGTAACAAGACAAAATAAAGGTTAATAGAACAGTGTTAGACTTTACAGATTTGGATGTCTAAAAATGCAGATTAAAGGGAACTACTTTCCCATATTTGGAAGTTTGCAAAGAGGAGATACCATTCACAAATTACTAAGTAGGCTTTATTTTTGTTTATAAAACCATCAGGTTTTTTTTCTATTACATTAGCTTCTGTACTAGCTATGGAATTACTTCCCTCCACAAAGTTTCAGTGCATAGTGAGGGGTTACTTTTTCCCCATGTTATTACCCAGAGTTTCCAGTTTGGCTGTAAAGAGAATTTCTTCTGTACTGTCTGTATTATTTGGCTTATCTGTCACTACCCAGTCTTGCTGATCAGCCCCAGAAAGGCTTTCTTTGAGACTGTTAGAATCTGTAGTTTGCTCTGATTGTAGTCCAGGTTGTTTTTCTGTGTCCGTGTCATGAGTTTCATGGTCAGCTTTCACCTTGGCAGCATTCCTGAAAACAGCTCTCATGACAACTGGGATTGACATGCAACTGAAGAAGGAAATGACACATTAGTCACTACTACAGACATAATACATTCTTTAAAGTACTTCTGTTTTATAAACTGTGGCTGGCACCTGAATGAGAACCAGCATTACCTTCCTTCTGCTTTTGTCTTGTACAACCTGGTGTTACTTTGTAACCATTATATAAACTACATGTGCTGTACTAGAAATATATGTTGACACACTGAAATCTACCGAGTCTTTAAAGTTAGGTATGCACTGAAGTTTTGAAAGAGTGGGAGGTCTTTTAGTCTGGTCAATCCAGTCAACAAAAAAAAAAAAAAGGTTTTAAGGATGCTTCTGTGTAAACCAAAACTAAGAATATTGAAATATACACATTCTTATTGCATTTTATAAACCTTCATGTTTTGTGTAACACAGGTACACAGGTTTATTTTCTAAAACACTGTACTGGAGGCGGGTTTTTTCCCACTCTTAATCAGGTTCCAGAAACAGTACCTAGTTTAAAATCAGGTTCAAAATCCAACCTGCATTGGTTTTCTTGTCATCAAACAGATAACAGTTGTGGACTAACTTATGCCAAATCACTTAGTGCTCGTAGACTGTGTTCTGAAACAGTTTGTCTAGCCTATGTTCATGTATCACAACTTGCTCATGGAATTTGTTCAGAAAATAAGCCAGAGTCAGTGTTGTAGACATGCCATATACAACTCATTTTCTGAAGGGAACCACTGATTGCTATTAGGTAGATATATTAAAAAGACCTTTCCATGCTATTTGAAGTTGCACTAGACATGAAACTGCAGCTAGAGTCTTCAGAAAAGCATCTTTATTAAAGGTAAAACTCTTCACTCAATAGTCTTTCCTTGCCTCCACATGCTTTCTACTAGAAACACTCCTTCACTGTTAATGTTTACTTTTTTTGAAAATGATACTTAAGACACTGACGTAACTTATTCCCATTATTGTATTACAGCATTTTACGAGAGTGAAGTTTTCCAATTGCTGAGTTCATGGCATTATGAATGCATGAAATTTCCATTTAATGGACATCTGTTAGGAAATAAAAGTACTTACCGTTTCACAGCTCTTGCTATGAAGTCATCAGTAGAATTTAGAGTTGGATCTTGAGGATTTAAATGAAGGTGACATTGGACTTCTCTAGAGGTTGTAACATCAATTACCACTAAGAAGGAACAGAACAGAAAAATCTTTGTTTTGAAGTATTTACAAACATTGAAAACCATCCTTTCATTTTGATGCTTGAAGAGATGTAAGATTGAAGCCAGTGGGAAAAAATTTGCAGCAATATATTTGCATGACTTGCTTTTCCATAATATACATAATATACATATATATATGTACATATATATACATAATGTATATAATATACATAAATCAGAAATAGTGGAAGTTACAATGTATTAATTAAATACAGGCCAAGACAAAACAGGACTTTAATATTTGCATTTACTTTCTGAGTATAGAACACCTCCTAGTAAGCAGTTCATACACAAGTGCATTCACTGTGTTTTTTGCTGGGCTGCACACTGTTAAGTGGTCCTTAGACTTTGCAACTGAGAAGCATAGTGCAAGAGCCTAGATAGAACCAAGTCCCCTGTCAGCTCAGTAAAGAGGACAGTAGTAATTATTCTACACATACCACATGCTAAATTCTTTTTCACAGGATGAAGGAAAAAAACAGAAAAGCTGGTGTTCTTGTACGGTACCACTTCAAAGTAAAGCAATTCTGAATCATCTAGAAATAAAAATACTGTTTAGTGATATCCACCATAGAAGTTGGGTTCTTTTTGGCTGAATTACATGCCAGAATTTAAGAAATACTGATACAATAGTCTAATTTTTCATTACTTTGACAACTTAGTTTATGTGCATAGAATGCACATAGAATTTAAAAAAAAATCAATACAGTGTTAAGAATCTTTAATCACTTACAGTACTCCACAAGTAATGACAGTTTTGGCAAGGGAATAGTAAAATCTATCAACACCCAATTTAGAAACTAGTTTGTCTCTAATACTGTGCCATCACTTCCAGCCACACAATTTACCTTCATTTATATGCTTCTCAGAGACACAGCTGCTAATAAGAGTGTTATATGCCACTTGATGTCGAAGAATCTCTATTACACCAGGCACACACTTTGGATGGCTAAATGGAATTTTACTGACCAAGGCTCCTGCTAAACCTGATTTTTCTGAGCCCTTGTTTATGAAGTAACAGTGCTTTGAGCAATCTGGAAGAGACTAAGCAACAAATAATGGTGATGTTTCAAGGACTGAAAACAGGAAAGTAAAGCTTGATGTTATCAGGCAGTTGTACAATCTACAGCAAAAATATTTTTGAAAGATACATTCCTTGCTTGTCTGTGGTACCTCTGCATTTCCAGCAGAATCCTTAGCGGAAGCTAAATGAGATCCACTCTCCCTCCCAAATACATCCAAATTAGGCAAATACACCCAGAGCCAAGTTGTAAATACTTTTCAGAGCCCTGTAGGCTATAAAAATGTTAGTAACCAAAATAATATCACAGTAACGCTGCTTGACAGTTGCACAAACAGGATAGCAGTTTTGCTGGAAATCTCTTCTGGACATCAGATGTTCTTCCAACCTCTATCATTACTACTTTTTCATGTAGTTAGCCTGTATATAAATCTGGCAGAAAGCATCTTAGCCACAACTTTCTGTTCTAAAACTTTACATCTAATGCAGCCTAAGCAACTGTATTTCAATAATGCAGTTATTAAAAGGAAAGCCTTCTTCAGTTAAACAACCTTGTCTCTAGATAGCAGTTGGCATAATGGTTGTAACACTTTATATTTTATTTCCTGCCAATCCCTTTAAAAGTAATCAATAGTCCCAGTGTTATGTAATTAAGAAATCCTTTTTGTTAAAACAGTGTGACATGCAGCATCATAAAGATCTTCACAAATCTAGGTAAGTATACCTTCTTGGGACTTGCTCCTCACACCAGTCAATAAGTTTCCTTCTTTTTAAGGCATTAATGAAAAAGTTCTGAGCAGTTTTTAGAAGAATAAATATTTGGGTTACACACAAACAAATTAGTGTGACTTCAGCAGCCAAGCACATAGTGTTTTATTAATGAGGATGAGAAGCTCACTTACATGAAAGGCTCTAATACTGCTATGTCAATTGAACTATTTCCCAAAGAGCACTTTTGTTGGGATTCTGGGAAACCTACATTGCTTGCTTATGGGGAAATGGTAATTCAGTATATATATCTCCCGCAACAGCACAGTGTGTATCAGATGCACACTATACTTACCACAAAGAAACAAGATTTATTTATAGACAAGTCTTCACTGCATTTTTCTTTAAGAGTAGACTGAACAATTAGCTCATACAGTGGAGCTAGTTTCAAGCCAGAAATACGAATTCCTGAAACCAGATCATTATTTTTATTAGCAATTAGATATAAGACAGTAGGTTATGAAAGCTACTATTAAAAGAAGCCCAATGTTTTGAAAAGACAAAAATACTGATTTTCTTTCTTAATCCCTTTTTTTTACTATTGGGAATTTGAGGTAGAGTGTTTAACTTTGCTTATAATTGTTATATATTTCTTAGAACTTTTCTGTTTTGCACTGGTTGTTACACTTGGACTGGTAGAACAGAATACGTTCTGCACAAGAAGCAATATCTTCTTTCAACTTTAACATGGGGAAGCAAAAAGCAAATAAGCAATGCATAATCACAGAAGTACTTAGTCTTAAAAAACAATTATAACATGCCTGTGAGCTTCTGTATCTCTTCAATACTGGATGAAGACATTGGAACAGGCTGATGAAACTTCAGAACAAAATGAGCTGGCAAATCCATGCTGAGTTCATCAGTCAGTTGCAAAAACGAAGGGTTGCTAGGAAAAAAAATTGTCAGAATGAAAGTTTTTTTACAGAAATTGCCATAACAAGGACTCTTAGTGCAAGGCCACTGTTAGGTCCCTAGCAGTTTATGATGTTCCATACATTTTCTGACTTGAAAAGCGTTTTGCTTTATAAATGCAACTTTAATAGTTTAAAACATGGTTAATGTGAAAACTGACAGAAAGGAAAAGTGAGACAGAAACTGAATGGTGTTTTTTACAAATAATTTTAAAGTATTTTAGTTCATAAAGTTACTTCAGACTTCCCCTCCAGACAACACTGATGTAGAGAGAGATGTCAGTACCCATAGTGGGATGACAAACTATTTCTGTGTATTTTAGGTGTAATATCTTTCGGTATATGCTTTCTTTACTGTTAATCTATGAAGGACTTGCTTGTTGAATACTAGGAAGTTCAGTAATATTGTTTCAGTGTCTCTTTCTGCTTCAAGTCTATGAATAAATTCATAGTTCAATGCAACTGACACAGTTAAATATGAACACAATACTTTTGAAGTCCATTTGAGAAAACCGTAAAAGCCACAGATTATAGACTGTGTAGCTATGGAGCATAAAGCCATAAATAAAACCAAACTTCTTGTTTCAGCAGAGGCTAAATGTAAATTAAACTGAAGTCAGTGCCAGTGACTTCTAAATCCATTTCTGTATTGACAAGTGTCCAGAGCCTCACCTATCCTCTCCAGCTTGAGGTTCTATAATTAATGGAGAAAGAGGCAGTTTGTGGAGCGTATCTGTGCCTTCAACAGTTACAACTGTTTTTGTTCCACATACCTGGGAACCTGAGGGAGAAAGAGAATGGCATTATTTTCCTTAATTTAGTGTATATTAATCCTATGCATGCAAAATATACAATGGTAAGGACTTGGAAGGTCAGGTCCAACTGAGCCACAGTGGTGTGGGCAGTGAAGAGAAGCATACACTGACCAAACCCAGAAGGCCAAAGTTGCCCAAAGATGATAGCAGCAATAGCTTAGTCAACAACGAAGACATGGAAAGTAGTTTCCTGATGGACATTAAAACTGTGCTAAAATGCATCACATAAACTGTTCTACTAAACTAGAATTTTAAATGTTAGTTCTGAGCTTTAATTAATTAAATTTTCTTAATGAAACAATTAATTAAATTTGCTTTAGTATTGAAAAACTCTTGTTAGCTATTTCTGCTGAAACAGCAGAATAGCTGAAATAGCTTTACCATGATTTAGTTCTGCTTCCAAAACTTGGTAGGGAGAAATGTAAAATTCAATGTTCATTGGGGTTCCTGAGGAATAAAAAAATAATGGTTACTATACAGGTCAGTAGAGGAAATATGTTGGGTGCCTTGACACAAAAGTGAAAAAAACAACACTGTAGATGGGTAGAGGGGATTCCTTGTAAAAGTACATCTCTACTTACAGTATCTGTTCTATATATGTTCTGTATATCTGTATGTTATCTGAGAATACAGGCACAGTAAGTCCCTACAGCAGGTTTTATTTATAGTAGAGGATCTTTCCTGTACACAAGCACCAGCTCAGTGTGTTTTGATTACAATTCTTTGAATTCAGAAGAGAAAAGAAAAAAAGAAAGGTGGGGGGGGGAGAAAAAGAAAAAGGGGGGGGAAGGGAGAAAAAAAGGAAAAAAATCACCTCCAGTTCTTGGCACCAGGTGTCCTACTTTTCCATTAAGTACTTCAGTAACTCTGTTTAGATCCTGTGTTCTATTTCAAAACACATCTTAATTAGTGTTTCCTGCATTGCAGTGCTAGTCAGATTAATGTAATTTCTAATTTGTATCCTTAATCAAAAGAAGACAATGTTTTCTTGGAAGCAGATTGTATGTCCAGCATCCAAAAGACCACAACTCCACATTTATTAGTTCTGGGACTTGGGCTTCCACTTCCCCCGTATCAGAGCTCTTTCATGTTGCACTTTGGTGTGCTATTTACCAGAAATGAAGGGGGTCACAAATATTAGAGTAGCAACTGGTTGGGCAAAGAATGAAGAAATAACCTGGATAAACTAACTTGAACAGAACCACTCTCTGACTTCAAGGGTGTTCATATAGATGATACATACAGCCATACGTTTACATAGCTGTGTACTAACTCTGCAGTGCATTGACTTAACAGCATATTTGGGACAAATAATCTATTTAACTTATAAATAATATTTACTGAGAAATCAGTGACCAGCACATTAGTTCATAGTGTTATTATGCTTCATAAGGGAAAAGTGCAAAAATAATCCAAGAGGGTGTTTCAAATTACAGGAGGCAATACCTGCCAAAGTATGTATATAACTTAGTAGGCAAGGTATCAGAGAAGATATTTCAAAAATCCAGAAGGAAAGCTCTTCCCCCCTCTGATTTATTGAAAATAATGAAAATCCTTATATAATTACCAAAAGGTTTAGGAAACTGTTTCCCATCTATCTGTAATCCTCCTCTATAAAAAGACAAATGAGAAAAGGGAGACAAGGCATCCACTCCTCCTGATCTAAAACCTGAGGACCCAAATGATATACCCAAACAGCAGAACCCCAAAAGGTCTATTTTACTTCTGCCACAGGGAGATCTAAACATGACTGCTGACTTTCAGATGCACTGTTTGCTCCCAGTGGGTGGTCATGTGCACACACCCACCCAAGCTTTGTAACCAACCAGGAAGTCCCTTAGATAAAGCACAGGATTTCAGTAGATTGACTCGTTTGCTTGTCTGGGGCTGACAAAGGCTTCAAGTTTCCCAGTGGGAGAAAACTCATTAGCCTTCCACATCCTGCTCTATAATTAGATCAGTTAACATGACTTTTAGTGAAATGAAGGATTTTGGGTAGAGGTAAAGGAACAAAGACATAGACTATAAGTTACCTGTCAAGAAGAGACATTGAATAAAGGTCTTTTTCAAGGGCCTGCAAAGCAAGATATCCCTTAGCTTTCATTTTGCTGGGAGAGAAAAAAGACAATTCATTATTTTTGTAAATAAATGAAAGTTAGGTTATGGATTTCAAAAGTTTTTGAGTAAAAAATAACTGCAACCTGTTTCCTGGAATTTGATACATATTTGACAGGTCTTCTAGAATCTTGCCAAAGGCATCATAGTTCTTCATCCTAACAAAAAGAAATAATGACTATCACACTACTAAATGAGATGGAAAATAACTCTTTTATACATAATTTAATAGAAAAGGCACCATTTCAGAGTGACAGTGGCCCCCTTCATCAGATCAAGTAGCAGTAGTGATTTAAATTTTCTTAGAAGATACCAGAAAATGTGAACCTTTGGTTTTGTTGCAAGAAGCACTGTACTTATAACTGAAACTGGCACTGAAGTAGGCACTACTGAAAGCAATAATTGTACATGAAATGCAAATACGACAGCTCATCAATTGGAAAACACTTTTCCTGATGTTCCAATAAAGTTAGTCATGTAGTACTACTTCCCTAGGACCTTGCATGCATACATTGATTTTTTAATTAAAATATTAAAATTGTATTAATGCTGCACTTCACAGCACCATGTGAGACAGACCTTAAATATAACTGATAGATACATCAGCCAAAAAAAAAAAAAAAAACCAAAAAAAAAAAAAGGCGGGGGGACAAGTGATTTGGTTTATAAATGAATGGTTCAGACTGCTCAAACCCCAGAATTCCTGTGGATTTTGACTTGGTGTGACAGCATGGAGCAGTGTTCAAACTAACCCATCAGGTAAATTACTCCTGTGCTTAAGTAGATTTTACATGAGTTTTACAAGCCTTACTAGATTCTGGTGCTGCAGTCACACAGACTGCTCAAGACTTTTCTTCCTTTCCTATGCAGATGTGGCTGCAGTGTGGGTCAGCAGAGACAAAATTAGCCTGCCTGAATTTTACATTGGGACAAATTCTTTCAAACCTGGAATCTAAACAAGTCACTCAGTTCTCCTCCGTCTCTTTCCAGCTAGATTAGTGGGAAGCAGGGAAAAAGAAGGGAAGCAAGCATGTGTGGTACAGGAACAGACACAACAGTAGTCTATGCATTAGATGGCTGGTTCATCTTAATTTTTTACTTTGAGACTTGTGGGAAACATTACACATATAGCAAACTGCCTTACAACCAAATAAAATACTACACACCAAGAGGTGTAGAAGGGATACCTGTGCTTTGTGACAAACTTAACAAAACCAGGAAGGCAGAAAAGTAGCACCCACAGTACCAGTGGTAACTATATGCCAGTGCTCAGAGCCAAACTGCTGGCATTAACATCACTGTAAGTAATAAATCTAGGAAAATGCAAGTTCAAGTTTTAAGTCATAGCTGTTTACACCCCTAAAGCTAAAATAATTTCATTCCTGAGGAAAAAGAGGGTTAAAAAAACTTATGATGAGTAATATAAAAGAGAGATTAAACACTAAAGGTCAATGATTGTTCTTTCTCTTTTTACCTTCCCTATCTATTATTTGGCCACAGTATTTAAATAAGAATCTGATTTCCTAAATATACTAATTATTATTAAAATCTGGAACCTTGATCATAGTCACTGAAGAACTTGTAAATAGACTTTTGAAGTGGTGGCCTGACCTGGAACAGCAACTATTCAGACAGAACAAAATGTGGTAATAATAAATATATATAGTGCCCTACTGCTACATGAGAAATTAGGGTCACATCTCCCTGCTATGTATTTGCAAAGAAACTCAGGCCATGTGATACCACCTTGCTTTCATTGTTGTGAGAGCAGCCTGAAGGACATGCAGTTAAAGTATTTGCATAAGGACAATACGAGGGCTATTTAATATTTGATGGAAGGAGCAGAGGAAAAGTAATACCTAGTTTGTATGTGTAAATCTGTCAGTTCTGAATTGTCATCATCAGTCCATTACCAAAAATTTGGGTCCAAGTAGCTCTATAATTCTTGCAATCAAGACAAAGGCCAGTATTGCAAGGCTTTGTTGACTGACAGCTAGAGCTAACATACTGGGGATTACTCTTTACCCTTGCTCCATTGAAGCAGATGCATTCGATGGAATGACTTGAGAAATAAAAAATGCCTGGAGTATCTTTACAAAATTATATTTGCTGCTGTTTTAGCCTTGAATTTACAAATTTGGAGCAGTTAATAATAATTACAACGACAACCAACTTCCAATATGGAGGATTGGAACCAACTTCCCACAAAAAATGGAACCCAAAACAGTGTCAGTTCTATTGTTTTCTGGATTCATATTATTGTTCCCTGCTTTTCTTTCCTTTTTTTTTTTTTTTTTTTTTCCCTCTTCAGTTTTTCTACTGGAATGGTTCTAGCATCAGGTATTCCTTTCTATTCAATATGAAAGCCTATATGTGATTCTTTACCTTAGAAGCTGGACCAAATCATCACAAACCTACAGGAATAAGAGACAGGAGTTTCATCTTTCTTGTCATTTGTGACACATCTTCTATAAGCACTTCATTAGTAATGATAAACTCAATCCCCATTACTTTTAAATAGCTGTATAGTTAGCATAAAAAAAAAATCCCCAACACTCAAAACCAAGACTAACAGTGCAATAGTTAAAAAAATATTACTATAATAATTGGAAGAAATCCTCTGTGAAAGAGGATAAAATTAACAGAAATAGTTTGTTGATAAACTCTTTCAGAAAAAAAAATTGCATCTTGGCCAGTTTTTCTTTTCTTGGTTGTGCTAGAATTCTCTGAATATGCATTTTCATTCTAATGATATTGTCCAGCACTCATTGATCAACAGACCTGTGCTGGTTAAATGAGCAATCTGAAATTCCAGGACTGACTTCAATGAAAAATAATGGACAAAGTTAACTCCAATATAACAATTGTAATAATGTAATTGCAATTGTAATAATTAGTGACAAGAAAAAGAGTTTATGTTCCCCAACCCCTACACAACAGCTTGTTGTTATATCTTTGACCTGAAGGGTTGTCTGTAATTCTGTAGCAACTGCAGGACATTATATGTGAACTTCAGGGTGATATTCTGTGAATAATTTAATAGAAATTTTGCCAGAAAAACATCCCCACTAATAGAAATATATATACTCCTAAAGAAGGCAGAATAAAAAACAGTATTAGGTCCAAGACATTCACTGAGCATATATATTGCACTACACCTTGGCAGGAAAATATTTTAAGCCCTTATTATTTACTCTATACTGGTAGCATTGAAGCATGAAGATAAAAATATTTATGTGCAATACCACAAAAATCTTGGAAGGTGAGTCTGTCAGCTGACTTTTACTGTAATACTTATCACTGGAGTATTTAGTACCTGTAAATGAGTTGTAAGTTTAGGTGAAAGATTCAGATGCCTAAAGAGGTAGCTAGTGTCATGAACAGGCTTCCACATGTGACAAGACCAAAAGGAAGTCAAAACCTTTCTGACATAACAGCTGGAAGCCAGGTAGGAAACTAAAGGGTCATGAGAGACAATTAATTTTACCACAGGAGCTTCTTCAAAGTGAGCCAACTTTACATCCATCACATCTCCATCCTTCTCCAGCTGAATTTCTAGATAAAACATCATTGATGTTATGTAGCAGGCAGTCCCACTGGGGCTAACATGAACAGTAAGTCTGAGAAGGATGAGAAAAACAAAAATAAAAGCTTGTATATATTAAAATTCTGTCACTTAAAAAAGGAAATGAGTATAGATCACTTGGTCATGAGAAGAGACAACAGGGATGTTTCAAAAATAACTCTTCCTTGGCTCAGCTTCTGAAAACTAGGCATGTATTTGTGCTCTGCTGTCTGCATTTTAATGTTGCTCAGCTCAAAACTATTAACCTCAGTCCATTGCTTTGGGATGTAGGCATTTATACCCTCTATTTACCCAAAAACCTTCTCCACAAAAGGCTAATCAAAATAGGCAAATACACACCTAGAATTAGAATACTGAGCTAAAAAATAACATTGTTGACAAGCCATCCAGATGGTATTCCTCTCTGGACTTGAGCCATGCTTGCTCATTTGCATTTATTCATTAACAAACTTACCCTTTTTGTCTGGCCAAAAGTTCCAATATGTCCATAACAGAAAACATGGATTTAGCTGCAAAAACCAAAAAGGCAATTTAATCAAACTGCAATGATCAAGAAGTAGAACCAGTATTTTCTTAATTTAAAGGATAATATTTAGGTAATGAGAAAATAGTATCTCTTGAATGACTTGTCATTAATGACAACTATTATGATTAATAAGTGCTGTACTGTGTAGAAAATACTCTCAGACTTCAAGAATAGCTATAGCCTGAAGGCTTAGCCCAAAGATGAGTCACAAGTCTCTTGTCTCTTATCTACCTCTGTGTTTGTACATTTGACCTCTTCCTAAAGAAAATCAATAGAGAAGGATTGGTAGATTCCACACAATATTAAAAAAATGTACTTTGAGTTATCCAAGAGCTCATTACCATTTAATGTCCTCTCTATCTTCTCCATGCATGAAAGCAATAGACCATCTGGAGCATTACTGACAGGCTTTCGATGTGGGTTATCCTAGCACATTTGTGAAAACAAGAGACAAAGAAAGATACCTTAAATTACTAGCTAAGAGACAGAGCACACAGATGCCCCATACTACAAACCTCTGGTTGTTTTTGTCAAAGACAGGGGTTACCTATGATCTCCAAAATGGCAGCACTAAATGGATTTGTGAAGATATTATTGTGCAGTAATTACATACCAGATGTAATTGGTATGTAATTTGGAGCAAGGAGTGGCTTTCCATTCCCCTGTCTTTTGATGTAATCACTAGATGTGTCAGCTAATTCCACTGTGAAGCTAAACTAAGAAAATACTTGCGTTTTTATTTTAGAAAAAATCTGCCTGAGTGAATAAAACAGATCAGTAAGTGCCACAGGAGTACTTAGATTAGAATACAAGTTAGCTTGTGAAGCTATTCACTTCAGTAGCAAGCAAACTCTCCCAGTTTCTCTTCAAGCTCTTACCTGAAAACTTCTCATACTTCACACTTCAATTAACAAAGAACACTCACTGCCGAAGAGTTTTCACTTTGTTCAAATTCAGGACATTGTTTTCAGAGTAAAGCTTGAATTCAGCATTAATAAAAAGAAGCATGGAAACAAATGGGAATTTTTATACTGAGCTCACAGCAGTTGTGCTAAACTGCTCTTTATGAAGATCATTCTTAAATTAGCTACTGGAAGGGCAGGCATGGAATGGTATATCACAGCAGCAGAAAGTCTGGATATCAGATTTCAGACCAGTTTCTAAAATACAGTATTTCCTCCCAGTCCTATAGGCAACAAATTATCTTTAATACTATGAATATGATAATGATCATGAATGTAACTTCAACTGGTAGACAATCAGTACTACCTCCTGAATAGTTAAAACAACGTTAAAACAAGTTAAAACAATGCAAGAAACAACCCCTAAAGTGTTAAAATTAGGCAGGACACTTTATAACCCATTGTCCTAAGACAAAGGAAAACCAAGGTAAAACAAGCAACAAAGTTTTCCGGGGAATAACCTTTGGGTGGGTTTGGAATAAAAGGGCCTTTTGGGTAAGTGGGTTTGCCTGGTTTTGAAAACAAAGAAATTCCTAACTACCTTGGAAACATACTCTTACACCACATATCCTTCTCTCACCTAACCTGTGATTCTTACCATGCAAAAATAAACAAGTTTCAGAGTTTCAGTCCATGGCCTTTGTTGGTATTTTAAATGCAACTGTTCCATTAAAGCATTTGTAGAAATAGCTGTCACAACACCTGAAAAACATGTCAAAATTTTCTAAATATAATGGCAACCAGAAATGCTGGAGGAGGACAAATATAAAACCTTGCTAAGGTCATAGATGTTATGCTTCAAAGAAGGAATAAAAAATGTTTTACTTGAATTTTGCACATACAAGCATCTAATTTTTGTAAGATTTTGACAGAAAAAGAGCAGGAGGAGATTTGTATAGGCAAGTATTCTCAATATTAAATACAGGTATGCAGCCAAATCTTCAGTTTGTTAAACAATTTGGCTTTCTTTACCTATGCACAATTTCTTATGTGTATTTGTTTATAAATACCAAGGCTTTGCCACAGACTTGAGATATCCAGACAGACTCACCTAGAGCTCATTAAAGCTCACTTTAATTAGAGATAATTTTTTTATGATGAGAGTGTTAGGACATTAGAACAAGTTGCTCAAAGAAGTGGTGCACGCCCCCTTCCTGCAAACATTCAAGGTCAGGTTGGACAGGACTCTGAACAACCTGATCTAGTTGAAGATGTCCCTGCTTATTGCAGGAAGGTTGGAGTGGATGGTCTTTAAGGGTCCCTTCCAACCCAAATTATCCTGTGCTTTTGCAGAGGATAATCTCAATGAAGGGGTGCAACTTTTTTTGTTTTATTTTGGTTTTGGGGATGGCAAGGAATGAGAATGGGGCTGGGAGAAGGAATATATTCAGTCCATCATCTGTCTCCCTATAAATATTCTTTCTGAGCTTACACAGAATCCAGATGTACAAAGGAAGTTTTTTTGCTGCGATGTGGTAGTTCCATAACCATTACCTCCATCAGGAGAAACACAGGAGTGAATTTCCAAATACATCAGAGTGAGACAGGTAGGAAGACTTCAAAGTTATTAATAAGAATAAACTGAGTCCTGGAACATGCCACCCACTTTGCACTGCCCCAGAACCAGAAGAAATATTACAAAGGGCTTCTTTGACTTAGTGGGCACAACGGAGCTGCAGAGATCTGGCCCCTTTGAGCCAGCGGCACTACATGGGGAACAGAGATGGACTAGATCCTTTTGCATACACCAAGAAGGGATAGTGAGAAGGGACTGGCAGCTTCTTCCTCCTGCAGGGAAGATGATAGAGCAGCCACCCCAACTTCCTGTAAATCAGGCCACTTCAACCAGCTGGAGGAAGAGGAAGCAGTGGACCCTAACCAGCTCTTGCAAGCACACTCACTGGGAACATGCCCCCACTCGACCATGCCTTCATGCTAATAAAAGGGCTGCAACCCACCCTGTATCTCCATTCACACTGCAAGAAACCAAGCAGTGCATTCGTAGCAGCTGCAACACAGCTCCCAGGTGCTGTGCAAGGCAAAAGCCTTGCTCCTTCAAAAAACTGGTCCCCAGTGGTTAGTGTTTTTCAATTTGGGGCTTGATAAGCACAGCAGTATCACCTCTGCTACTTTTTACAAGAGGTACCCTGTTAGCCATGTTCTTCCACATCTAAGGCATAATGTCAATTCCCATCTTTTCAGAAGGTGTCATATTCTCAGAGGCTGAATTTAACTGGGGGAGGTATGATAGTAACAATCACTCAGCAAAACAAGCACTCCAAAAGGGGGTTGTTCATCTTGCTTTTTAGTGGAGGGAGTTAAAAAAACAGTATTGATAATGTTTGCATTGTATTTGTACAAAAATGTGTATATTTTGTATCCACCTCAGTTGCAGTCTGCTTGTACATAGGAATCAGTGCACAATGGCAGTGTGAGGTTCAAGGGTTAATCCTGGACCTTTGTACAGGCTCTAGCTCAAAATGTGGTTACTTGGCAATGTCAAGGTCTACAGCAAGAAGAGCATATCTCCTACATAAACTCTGGGTGGCACTGTTTCAGGATACCTTACAGCAAACCTGCTTCCAGCTATTATCCATCATGCTGCAGTGCCCGAAATAGTCTCATACCACATAAAATAGAGTATTTTTGACTTGGATGTAGGAACCTGAGTAGAAACTAAGTAGTTCATTGGCCTCACTAAGATTACACAAAAAAACTAAGCATGCGCCTAGGAATCCCAGGAGAAGTGTATGTCAAAAAGTGGTATTTGTCTCCAGACAGGTGTCAAGCATACTAATTAGAGAAAGTCAGTGCAGCTGAGTGAGTTAAATATATTTGCACTTCAGCTTTTACAAAGGAGGTGAAATGTGATGAACTAAATTGATAATGTAATTCCAAACTTGTGGTAAATCACACTTCTGTAAAATTATTCGTCTGGTGTATGGTATTAAATACTAATTTACTTTTTAACCTGACATTAGCAGTGAACACAGGTATAATCATAGCTGTAATCATGAGCTTTACCTGTTAATTGGTGCATGAATTTAAAAACATGTTTTCAGCATTTCTAGGGAGTCATTTTAGCTTAAGTTTGTTTGAACAATCTATTGAAATGTTTTCTGCTGAGCAAGAACATGTACTATGGCCCATATAAATTAGGTTGCCTCAGTCCAGATCACATGAATGGGTATGTGCAAATATGACATACCACAGCTTGGTATGGCTTAATATTTTTGTGTTATTTTTCATAAATGTTTTTCTAAAGTTCTTTGGAGTCTCTGTGATCTTGATACTAACTACAGTGGTTTGATCATGTCCTGAATAAGCAGAAAAGTAAATTATTTGCTGACTATCTTGAAGAGAACACTTCCAAAATAACAGAAGAAGGATACACTCCATGGCTTACCTGATCTGCATAATAACTGTTCTGCAAATAAACAGAGAACTTCAAGTTCAATTAGTCACAGTATGGCTGATTAGTACAGTATAGCTTATAAGCCTAAAATACACTTTAACTTTTAAACAAAAAAAGCTTTTTCCATTGTGCTCAAATGTATGTATTTAGGTAAATGATTTTGCATAATTTTTCCAGGATAGAAATAGTGCCAGATTTTCATAACAAGATAAATATTCCAAGATAATTATTAGTCTTCACATAAAATTGCAAGATTGGAAAAAATATTTTTCATATGAGAAATAGAAGTTTAAGAATTGTCAGAAAGTTCCTCACAACAAGGTGCTGTTCCAGTATTCAGAACTGTCATATTGAATTACTGCACTTGAGAGAAGAGTTAAGAGTGATGAATATTTAAAAATGTTATAATTATAGCTTCTCAGGCATATTAAATACACAAATATTTAACTGGGTCAGTTTGTGGTATTAAAAAAAAAAACAACAACTGGACATGCATTATCATGAGTACAGAAAATAATCGGAATTACTGCATGAATCCTAGATGCCCACCTGCTCTGGATTACTCTCTCTTTG